AAATAAATAAAATGCTACATATATCGCTAAGTCTGTATATAAGTCATGCAAGCTGAGGTCGAGCCGTAGCTTGTTTGGCTTGCTTGCTGTGGTAGGAGCGGCCGGTCCTGGGTTCGGTTCCTAGAATCAACCCAGGAGCCTCACCTCAGAGATTTATTCTCCGTTAATAATTTCAGTTACCTCTCATGCAGATGTGTCACTATGGTCAAGGGACGTGCCCGTCACGCTCGGAGTTTGATGATATTTGAGTACCTCTCAGCTGCGTTCGTTGTCTAGATATAGTTGTAGGTTTGTTTGCATACAATGTGTGTGAGGTGTGCGTGTGTGTGGTGGTGGTTTGTATTTGTATCCGAACAGATACGACAGCTGTACTTAGATGAGAGGTAAAAAAAAAAAGTCATGCAAGCCGCAAAAGGCAAAAAAAAAAAAGGAAGCTTGTCGGCTCAACACGTGGACCACTACTAAGCGTGCTCGGCAGTGGCCGATATCGAGCATCATCATCATCATAGCTGTTTTCATTTCCGCAAACTAATGCGCATTATGGTTCATCAGGGCCAATAGTAGTAGAGTAAGATATCTCCAGACTCCAGTTCTCCACTGCCTGTCATCATAGGAGTTGAATTTCGAAAGAAAAGACAAACTTGTTCATACAGAGCCCAATAAACTATAGGCAGTTCATTATCTAAAAAAAACTATAGGCAATTATGGTGCCCCGGTCGTTAGCCGACGACTGAATTATATTAAGAAATAGACAAGCAAATTGAGATGGGCGGCGCAGCGGCGGGCAGAGCGGTCGCTGACGGGATCGCGTCATTGCAGGCCGGGGCCGACAGCCAACAGGGCTGAGGGCCACCACGGCCAATCAGTGCCTGCCCCTGCTGGCTGCTGCCCTTGATCGCGCCGCGTTCGTGCCTGCGTTTTCACGGCAGATTTCTTTCGTACGCATCGTGCGTTCTTCATATATGTAGATTATTAACTAAACTGCATCGAATTGCATTGCGCTACGTGGTTCATGTCTGGCCGCAACAGGGCTGTTATTGTTGGCGGATATGCAAAGTGTTACCATCAGTCCATCGCAGTCTCAGAGACCACTCCATCTTTCTTAGGATTTGTTTTTATAAGGAAATGCTCAAATGCACAGGTCAGCAGGAAAACTATAGATTGGTTCCCCTGTCTTGGTTTCGAGCTAGATCCCGAATTATGTAACTTCTGCACATGACATTTTCATGCTACCCTACTGCTGACACGGACTGGCCGTTCCATTTGGGGAGGGCCATGGAGCATGCAAGGTCAGGTCAACGCCGACCCCAGCACAAGGATGACGAAAATGTGTGTGTCCCCGTGCTCCATGACCTAATGCTGCGGCAACAGGCGTAAGCACAGGCTGGACTTCTGTTCCATAAATGTAAACCTGTCACACGTATGACGTGTAGACCATGCTTAATCTGCACCAAGCCTTATGCTACTACTATTCTCACAACTTCTCTTCAGCCTATCATAGGAAAGTCAAACTGCTACAGAAATACAAGCTGAAATTATATTACGAGACGCAGAAACACAGAGTATTGAATTTGAACGTACAAACATGCCATATTTGAAAAAAAAAAGGAGAGAAAATCGCAACAAATTTGAGGTCTCTGGTCTCTGTTCTCGATTACATTGTCGTGCCTGGCAATTGATTATTTCATACCTACCAAGCCGCTTCCCAAACGACAAACGTGCATCACCAAGTTGGCCGGATGCCATATAATGCACGCTAGGTAGGGTCATGAACAGGTCAGGATGGTACACAAATCGTTGATCACATGCCACATACTTTGGTGGTTGCTGCAGTGTGTGTTCTCCAGCAAAAGCTTCCCAAAAGGGAACTCCAGAACAGGCGCAGCTAGCGCATCCAACACCTACCACCCAGATGTACCCCATCCTTATTAAACACAACAAAATCAGCGCCAATATAAACAACCGCATTAATCCAGCATCACAACATAGCTTGATTCCATATTGTATTTCCCCACCTTAATTAAAATATTCCTACTACTGTCCAAGATGCATGTGTTTAGCACCAGTAGAAGTTTGCGAGTTCCAAGGCGCTAGTTAATTAAGAAAGGGAATGAACATGGAGATCAAACAAGATGCATGTGTTTAGCCGTACAATACAACTTTGATCTTTTCTTTCCTTTCCTTTGTTTTTATCTTGCGGAAATATGCACGACTTTGATCTTGGGCGTGTTGTGCGGTGCAACCTCAAGTACTCCTATGTAGAGAAGGATTTGAATTCAATGTCATGTCATGTCATTGCCATGACTACTAGGAGAATACTCTGCCAATCTAGAGGGTTTGGATTAATGATGTGTGAAGTCATGCTGTTGAAATGTTCCAGCATGGTCGTCCTCTAGAAAGATGGTACATGGACCACTGGTGCTTGAGACTTGAGGTAGTTCCATATAGACCAGGTACCTTAAACCGATAGTAACATTCTAGTCCATCTTTTGTTGCTGGTTGCTTCCTGAAGTGAAGTTTTGTTCAACTCTTACAGGAAACTGAGCAGTTAGGATCGAGCCGCAATATTCTACAGTTTGCATTCTTCTTACTATCAAATATTTTAGACTGACCATGTATTTCAACCCTCTAATCATGTCTTAATTGAAGATTAATCTATGTGCATATTAAACCATTGAAAGGAAAATTATAACGCACCCACCGCAATGCATAGTACCTATTATTTCTATAATCAGTAATCACGTCTACAAGATTATCGAATAAAGTTGTGGCTCCGATAGTTTTTCTTTGGTTTGCCAGTATTTTTTTGAACGGCCTTTGGTTTGCCAAATAACATCCACAAAAAAACTAAACCGTCTACTAGCTCTTGGCATCCGTTACCTTATCCCTTGTCACCTTCACTTCTTTAGCGGGCTCCTGCACATCGTCTAGAGCTGTTATTAAATCCGGCTGATAAGCCGGCTGAAACTGTTTTATTGTGAGAGAAAAATACTGTAGATTCTAGCTGATAAGCCGGCTGATAAGTTCAAGCGAACAGGCCCGTTATCTTTTCAAAAGGAAAATCACTTTACATTAATGGTGCTTGAGGTTACATGTTGGCAAGGTAAGTTAAGGCGGTAACATTCCAGTCCACCTTGTTCTTGGTTCTTCAACTCTTAGAGGAATTAGGGGCTATTTTTTTAGTTTTTTTTGCTGACTTCTATCCGTCAGAAGCCATAAGCTGAAACAAATGGCACACTAAAAAACTAGAAAGCTAACTTATGAGGAAATATGACAATGTTCTAGATTCTCGTTTTAGGTTTTAGGTCTAGATTCACTTCAGAAACATTTCTCTGATGAATCAGAATTACTTCGTGAAACCGTGTGGCTAGCTCGCTGGATTCTTCAAACTAGAACAAAAATTAGGAGAATCCAATTTTTGGTTGTTTCTCAGGACTAGTATAAAAATGAGAATCAGTTCCAAGTGTTTCTCCCTGAATTGTTTCTATATTCATGGCGTTTGGCATCGATTCTATTGATTCTATTGAGAATTTGAAACGTTTCTCGCTGCTAAGCGCACCCTAAAAGCTGAAAAGCATGCTGAGAGAAGTTAGCTTTTGATGTGCCGAGAAGCTAAAATTTTATTAAAAACTCAATAGCAAAAGTAAACAACTAGAAGCCAAATAAAAAAATAATTGCATAAGTCATTAAAGAAAGTTAACAGATAGAAGCCAAAAGTCAGAAAACCATCTTTTATTTAAGACAAAAGTCCAAAAACTGCGGTTCAAACAATAAGGCCCAAAGTAGTTACGACCATGCCACAATGTTCTACAATTTGCATTCTTATTATCAATCCAAAAGGTTGATCGTATACTTCCACCCTCTAACCATGCTCCAAGTGAACAATGATCAATCTAGGGTGTTCGGCTGGTCACATTTCGAACTTATTTTGGCTAATTTCGGTTGATTCAATAGTGTTCTGTGAGAGAGAATAAGCTGAAACAAGCTGAGACTAGACAAGGAAAACAGGCAAGTATCTTCATGTTATATCCTCAAAAAATTACAACACAACCATCACAATGCATAGTATTTGTAGAACCACACCTACAAGATCATCTAACTAGCCGTGGCCGGTGGCTCCAATAGCTTTTCTCTGGTAGAACCGCACATACAAGATCATCTAATTAGTCGTGGCTCCAACCTCAAATAGTTTTTCTCTGGTTCGCCGAACAACGTCCCAAAGATTGGATTGTCTCTACTTGCGTTACAACATCCCGTGTCGTCTTCACTTGTTCAACGGCCTTCTCCACGTCACTTGGAATATAGCCACAGTCCACAATACATCGCTAGCATCTTTTTCGAAAAGAAAAAAAAAAGAACATAACCGGGCTGTGAAAGGAAACCGGACATGTCCGTGGGGCTCTGAAGCGGACGGCCAGGATCAGATAAGGCATATATGGCCTTAGGCCTTAGGCACCTTGCCGTGGACCCCACGTCCCGGCCGCGCCGCACGGCATGCGTCCCAAGGTCGGGTCCGGGTGTACGGTGACGCGAGTGACGCTGCCACCGTCCGTCCCAGCCGCCCCGGCGGCATCCCGGCCAGTGGGTGGCGCGCCCCCGTTGCCCGCCCGGTCCGACGCCCCGTAGGCCGCAGGCATAATAGCATAAAAGCGACCCGGCCCTTAATAACCGCAATTCAACCTCGACGCCGGATCTGCGCCGGCTAGGGCCCGACTCGCCGCCACGTCACCCGCCTGGGGCTGGCCACGGGCGCACCCGCCGAGGTATTTATACGAGCGCCCCGGGGGAGCCAGCGCCCCACACACACCGTCCTCCTCTGTTTCGCCAGGGCCAACGGGTCGAGTTGAACCAACGCCACCATTACAAGAGAAGAGATAGGTGGGGAGGCAGACGAGAGGTGTAGGGAATTTGGCCGGCCGGGGGCTGTGGAGGGAGTGAGTGCGAGAGGGAGAGAGGCAGGGGGTGTGACGAGCGAGCGTGGGCTGGCGATCGCGGGAGCCATGACGACGGCGGCCGGCATGCCGGGGTCGCCGGTGGGCTCGGCGGCCGCGGCGGCTGGCGGTCCCGCGGCGCCCGAGGTGGCGGCCAGGGACGCGGTGATCGGGTGGTTCCGCGGCGAGTTCGCGGCGGCCAACGCGATGATCGACGCGCTGTGCGGCCACCTGGCGCAGATCGGCGGCGGCGGGCCCGAGTACGACCCCGTCTTCGCCGCGCTCCACCGACGCCGCGCCAACTGGTTCCCCGTCCTCCACATGCAGAAGTTCTACCCCGTCGCGGACGTCACCGTCCAGCTGCGCCGCGTCGCGGACGCCCGCGCCGCCGCCGCTGCCGCCGCGGGGTCCTGCTGCTACTCGGAGGAGGCCACGTCCACGGTGATCCAGGAGCCCATGGAAGACCTCCCCGCTGAGGCTGAGCCCGAACTGGAGCCGGAGCCGGAGCACGAGCAGGAACAGGATCCCATACAGCAGGATCCGGCACCGGCGGCCGAGGAGGCTGACGGCACCGTCATCGACCCCGCCGTGGAGTACCACGAGCAGGACGCGGAGGTTGATTCCTCCGGAGATTCGTCGGAGCGGAAGGCCCCTCCACGGTAGACGACACCGTAGCAGACGGACGTAAGTACAATCACTACCAACCCGCAACTTAAATCCTCCCGTGCTCACGTCAATTAATTACCCTGCCTGTTGCATGCCTGCATCCCGTTCATGCTCCGGCCTCCGCATTCGAATTTGCCAAATCCATCGTCGTTTCCGTTAGCTCAACGTCCGCACTAGTAGAGTAGAGTTTCTAAAATTATCAAATAAATTTCGGCCGATTCGTAACTTTTGGATCTGGTAGCCAGGTGTGGCTTCCTCCGCAAGTTTTTTTCTTATTACTACTAATCTCCTACTTTTTGGGGCCTAACTAAAATGGGATGAGGACTAGTGTATAATGCCTTTTTTTTTTGGAATTTTAAGGGACGAGGACTAGTATAATGTCTTTTTTTGGGAATTATATTTATGTTTTCGATTCGCGAGATTAACACGCTTCCAGATTACGCTTAATCATGGCACTATATGTGCTTAAAGCTGCACAGCAGCGTTGGTTCATGGGAAATGGGAATGGAGATGGCTGGCGCACGGGTCCATTTCTTCTGGTGGTTAGTGGAAAATTGGAGCGCGAGGTCCAATAATTCTTCTTCGTGTCCATGTCCAACCTCTCGGTCAATCCTGGCCATGGGTCGTGGAGGCGGCGGAGAAGGTAGTAGCCGTGAAAGGGGATCACGAGGGTCGAAAAACCCTACCGCTTTTCCTCCGAGGCTCCGACGGCCTTCTTTTTTTTTTTACGGCCACCCTTTTGGCCTGCCCTGGTCCCGCGGAAAAGTACCGGTGCCAGTACGGTGGCCTCTTGCAATTACGCGATGCGTTTATTGTCGCTGCTTCGCCAGCTAGATCTGTTCGTTTGGCCGTGACTTATTATAAACGATCGTAAATTTCTAACTGGAATAATATTTTTCTTTCACATAAACTAGTCAGCAGTATTTTTTTACGAATCAGTAACGAAATGAACCAGCCAACCGAACAGGCTGCTAATCGTCCGCTTGGCCTTAGCTTATAAGTTGTATTTTTTAAGTTAACAAATAATATTTTTTTCTCGCACCAAATCAGTCAACAAGACTTTTAGATATGACTTATCAGCCAAACAAGCTCAGACAAACAGGACGAATAATGTTGGAGTAAGAGTAGTTTATTTATTTTATTATTATTTTATAAACGTGCAGTGCAGCTACGGGCTCTCGGCCGCTCGGGCGCCTCCGCCCGAACCCTGGCTGAGGCGGCAGCGGCCTCGAATCCATCGTTGCAGTTGGGTACACCAGCCTGGTTGGGTCTGGTCCGTGCAAGTGTGCAGCGGTGCTGCGATTGGCTGTTGCCGTGTCTGCAAATTGCTGCCCATGTGTCGCTCTCAGATCGATCGGCGCAGGATGTAGCACGGTTGGCCTTGACGGAACTTGTGACTCCTCACTTGATTGAGCGAGCGGGCGGTCGGTGAGTGCCACTCCCACACTGACGCCAGCCTTGAACTCGAGCTCCCCAGCGGCGTGCCTCTGACGCTAGTTAATGGACCCACATGAGCCCGCACCAAGGGAGACCGACCACCTGGCCCCAGATCGGGTTCCGGGTGCCAGGAGGCTGGATCTGGTGCCGCGCCGATCGGATCGGCCGCCCCGGGCAGCCCGGGCCGCACACGTGGTCGCCCGTGAGCCACTGTCTCGTGGGACCCCGGCCAATCAGCCGAATGTACTGTGAGGGGTCCAGTCCGCTGGGTTTCGCGAAAGAACTTCTTGTCTCCGTACGCCATGTTGCCCAAGGTGGTGGTGGACCGTGGCGGCTCCCGTCGAGTCTTCAGCCGCTAGCGCGGCCGTCAGGGGGGTGGTAGGTGTGGCGTAGGGTGGAGACCGGAGAACTTTTTGGAGCTTCTTGAATTTCTTCGCACATGCACGATTGAGCTGTGCCATGGAATTGATTAATTGGGTTACAACAACGTCGCTGGGGTATGCGCTGTCCATTGATGATGCCATCATGTTCCAAGCTTTGTCCAGATGCTGCTGCTGTTAGTCAGCTTGCCTTTTTGCAATCCGTCTCGATTTTAGAAGATTTCAGTCGACCTCCCCCAAAATTCACAACCGATGGACTATAACTTGCTTCAAAAAAACCGATGGACTATAACTTTGTTTTTAAAGAAAGTAAATGGAAAACAATTCTTGTGTTTCTTGTGATGGACCATTGCGAAAGCTAGAAAGAAAAGGAGGGAGTGATATAAGGCCTTCCCCAACGCTGATTTTTTTATTAGGAGTCTTAAGTGTCATATATGATCGGATAAAAAAAAGTAAGAAAAGGAGGGAGTGATATAAGGCCTTCCCCAACGCTGTTTTTTTACTAGGAGCCTCAAGTGTCATATAGGATCGGATAAAAAAAAAGTAGGTACTCTATACTTATCATAGTGGGTTGCAAAAGCTACATATGCTTGGGGAGAGATAATATGGTCCATGCTAAAAAACGAGAGAGAGAGAAAATAAAGGTGAGACATGATGAAAGAAAAAAAAGTTTCTTTGCAAACCACGAGTAGTGATAGTTAGATTATGTGAATAGTAGTCTTATCATTTACTAGCCTACATGTGGATCACCTTATTTGTACTAGAACCACTAAAAGTGTTAGCCTGGTGGTCCGCGGATTACTGGAGTATCATCTTTATACCCGTCCTTGCCCAATAATTGGAACATGTATACTGCTGCTGGTCCCTGCTTTCATTCGGTTCATGCGACTACAGACACACTACAATGCCCGTGTTCACTTCTTTCAACTTTGGCGAATCTCTTGTCTACGCGCTCTCCTCTTTATCATATTATTATATCACGGAACGCACTTTTTTTCTCTCCATTCATGCTGTAGTCCGTAGAAAGTGACACCACTAGGGTGCAGCAGCTTGAGATTCAACCAAAAACGAAATCATTTCTTCCTGGGTTATGATGAATATTTTGAAGATCCAACGGGTGATAAAAGCAGCACATGACAGAACGATTTGTGAGAATTTGAACGGGTGATAGACTGGACCTGTTGGTGCTGATCGAGGGACCTTGCCCCCTAGCAAACTCCCAAGTGAAACTTAATCATGCCATGCGTGAAAAGTGAAGATTAAGTACAGTCTGTATTTTATTTTACTGAAATGTTTCTGTTCTCTTGGATCTTGCTTTCTCCAAAGTTAAAAAGTTTTGATACCCAGTAATAAGGATGTTATGTCCTAAATGAGATAGCTTCGTTGAAGAATTTGGTGTCTATTTGCTTTTTTTGTTGTTGCAAACCGTAGTATATATCCAACAATCGTTTGGTAGCCTCTGAGATATATATTACTTAGCAGATCATACTGATCAAGGATCTCAAGGGGAACACAGCCTACCAGAGAGCTATCCCATCTGCTCTGACCACGAGGAGTGCATTGCCCGTCCTGAGAGGATCAAGATCCAGAAAGGTTTCGTGGCCAAGGAATCCGTGAAGGGGCACATGGCGAGTTCCAACTTTACACCACTCAGCAATCTTTCTGTACAGAAGGACTAGGAGATGCTGTAGGAAGTAGTAGCACTTCTATTCATCTTAAAATTCATTTCTTCTGAATACACTCTTTTTTTACCGATGTTCATGACCTTGTGCTACAACCAGGTTAATGTCGTGAAAGGCTTGAAGATATATGAAGATGTGTTTACAACATCGGAGATCATGAAAGTTGCAGAATTCATCAATGAAATTCGTCAGGCTGGCAGAAATGGAGAACTTTCAGGTAAGTTGTGTTCCTATTGCTTCAGAAATTCTCGTTCATGAAGTTTACCTATATGTCTAAAAAATTTAGTATTATTTTTTTATTGTGTTTGCTTACTTCTATTAGTTTCCATAGCTAACATGTGGTTATTTCTCCAAAAGAAAAAAAATCTGCGGTATCATCCATTGATGCTTTAATAAGATACCAAAATGCTTTATGCACAGCATCTAACTGTGGTCCTAGTTCAGGCTTTCATTCATTACCTTTTATCATTGCTGATTTTATGTCTTATATAATTTTGTGCTAACTGGCTCATAGATCTAGGGTCCTAGGTCCTAGTAATTGTCGCCCCCATATTATAGAAACAGAAAAATATAAGATGCTGAAATTTATAACTCAGTAGAACTTGAATCTAACAAACAAAAGTAAAGTTATCAACCTAGTGACTAACACGCTGATCGATTTGACATGGTTCAGCTAACTTGAAGTTTACTCTCTTAATGAAAAAAAAAACACCTTTGAACTGAATATATAATTTAATACTAGTAACGTATTAGATCGCTTCTGTTTTATTGGAATAGGTCGTGCCAAGCCATGGTAACGTCCGTCCAAAGTCGTGCACAACAAAATGTTGATCCAAGTAAGACCTCAACTGACCTCTTAAGTTCCCGACTATGCTGACCCCTCCTTAAGAATTGACATAGAATCCACCACCTGGGTACACTCTCATTGGGTTTTGGATGAAATCATCACATCCAAGTAAGCTACCTGAACTTGGAAACCACTAATTTTTTTCTTAGCTCTGGTCAGTGTGTTCATCTATTTTGTCTCTTGAAATTTGACCGTATGTTTACGTGCTCAATGAAGTGAGTATCTTGTAATATTGCCTTGGTGCAATTTCCTTGTTCAGTCCGGTGCTTATTATATATCTTTTTCTTTTTCAAATTTAGGTGAGACTTTCATATTCTTCAACAAGCAGATCAAAGGAAACAAGAGGGAGATCATACAGCTCGGTGTCCCGTTATTTCAACCTACCACAGAGGAAGCTAATTGTATGTTCCGAAGACTCAGTACCTCGTTTTCTTCAACTTGCTTACACTGGCAAGCATATGCCTTATGTGCATAGCGTATTTGTATGACTATGGCATCTAAAAACATTGAAATGCCTTGTGAATGATGTCCCAAATGTCCTCTTTTTCTCCTTGTCCACAGGTCACACAGAACCAATCCCCCCTGGTCCTGCAGGCTGTCATTGACCACCTTGTTCTTTGGCGTTTAATACCAGAAAGCAGGAAACCAAAC